CATTTCGTATATTTTAATAATGATTGTCTTAATGTACTTGTTTTATACGTATAATGTATAAAAAAAAGTATGTAGCGTGTATAAAAAAAATACAACGTAATAATCCTACGGGTAAAAGGGCAAAAGGTGATAGCTTTCATATTTTATGAACCCTGAAATGAAAAACGACCGTACATTTAGCTCTTTTTAATAATATATTAGAAAAATTTGAATGTGATATAATTAAGCGACTTGAGAAAAGTTGGTATTTTGTATAATTATATAAAAAAAATGCATACAATTTTATTTGAGTTATTGATATTATGGATTAAATTATGAAGTGAAATTTATTTAAACTGTACGAGAAACCTGACGATTCGTACATCTCATTTATATTTGTGGGAGATTTGTAAATTTTAAAAAGTTCTTAATTATAATAATCAGCAATAAAATGGAGATGTGTCGAAAACAAATTAAAAATATATGATTGTGTAAACTGGAACGTGATTGGATTAGATTTGTGTTTAGCAACTATGAGAGTGATTCAGTGAGTTCGAAAGAAAAACTAGTTAAATTTGCATTTCGAGCAGCGCAATAAATTGTTTTGTATAATTGGACGTTTAAAATTGCACGAGTCTCGTTGAAAGAGAATGCATTATCTTTATGGTATTTAGAAGTCTCGCGAAATTACGACGGATAACACCAGACACGTGTACAAATGAGCCGATCGCAAATAAATTGTTATTATAAATTGCGGTTTCGTCAATCCGAACGAAATGAAATTGAAGAATTTATAAAGAAAAGAAAAAAAAATCGTTTCACCAGAAAAGCTTGATTACAATTTAAATTACATTAGTTAATTAATGATACGGCGGAACAAACACGTAATCTAATCGATTTTTTATTAACTTTTTTTTAATTTTTGCAATGCCATCAAAATTCGATTATTATTTTATATTTATAGCTTTAATTGGTTGTTAATCGTGAATTAACGATCTTAATAATAATTAATGACGATAAGTGCGTTTTCTATAGTTTATTTTTACGGTGTTATATAAAATGATTGGTGTGAAATGTGCGAATGCGAAGTGTTTGTGTTTGCCGAATCGTTATCGTTCAATTTCTGGTGAGATACGGCTAAATTCGCTTGAAAGTAATTAATATGTGAATGATAAGAGATCATGAGTCAAAATGCTAGAATGTTTGAAGATGTAATACTGATTTCATGTAGATTAAAAGTATTATTCAGACTAAAAAAATAGTGTTTAGCATTTCTTTTGTAAACTTATGTAACAACTAATTTAAGCAGATGCAAGTTATGTTTACAGAATTTACATTATTATTATAAATTTAAATTTTAAACAGTTTTGAATTTAATCGAATGAAAACAAACTTGCTTTATTGGTATAATACAAAACAAAAATAATGATAAATACAGAATTAACATCGCAAAGAGCGGCTTTGATAAGTACACAATACGGCAATAAATATTTTATAATAATCTATGAACAATTATGCAGTATATAACTTTTAAAACAGATTTGTTACATTAAATCCTTGATACATTGCTATCTCGGTTATTACAATTACAACAAATGTACTGTCAATCTACTGGATTAATAATAATTAATACTTCTGCATTGAAAATTATTGACGAAATTACTAATATGTGATGTAGATTATATTTTGTAATGTTTGTTGTAACGAAATCTTATATATTATCATATAAATCAGGGTTTGCCTATCTAAGTTGTTTTTTCTTTTTAAATATAAAAAATGGATGTTTTCAGGTCCACAGTAAATTTTGAGTTCAGAAACATAAGACAAAGAAGAAGTAATAATTTAAAATTTGATGGAAATTAATTTTTCTTTTCTTATATATAGTTTATAACCAAATTAAATATTTTAATACAAATATCTAAGTTGCGCCCCGCCTCAAGAAATTCATATTTTTTTGTAGTTAGTTACACATTGTTTCAAGGCTCATTGAGCTCTGACCAAAGTGTAGTTACACACAAAAATATTAAGTTACCGAAATAGAAATATTCTTTTAAAAGTATAAAGTTGATAAATAATTTTGTGTTTTAAATGTATAAACTTGATATCTGCGAATGTCTTTTGTTTTCTTTATAACTACTTCGATTAGAAAAGTGTGAAATAGTACAAGAAATTTTTCGTTTTTGTTGATATATGGTATTAAACAAATTACAAAATTACTCGAAATTTGTTCTCAATTGATTTGATATATAAATTTGGAATGTACAGAATACGTACATTTCTCTATAATTGGGTTCGATATAAGTCTTGAAAGTACAAAAACTTTTTTCATTTTGCTGAATTGTGGCAATGTAATTTACTACTAAATGAAACATTAACTTACGAGTTTTTAAATTACAGATTTTGTTTAGAATGATTTCAATGTTTATTTTTGACTAAATAGACAAGAATCAATGCTTTATTTTTTGTCCTTGCACAAAGTATGATTTATTTTCAATAATTAAGAATCTTTGAACGAAGTGTAGTTTTTGTGTATATATTAAAGATGGTAAAGTGTTATGTAATCTAACAATTAGTTAATGAAATAAGTGTTTGCTAGTATTGAATGTGTTAAAATAATTTATGTTAGAAAATATTGGAGTCAAGGATACGGTTGAATATTTTTGTCTGAAGATTTGTGATTACGACTATTGATTCGTTCGGTTTGTTGGGTTTGGTTATCCATCTGCAAACGTTCCATTTTTATTGGATTTACATCAATTAGAGAAGGAGCGTGGAAAATGCGCGTGGAAGAGCAAACAGGACAAGATCAACAATTCACATTTACATTATTTTGAAAATCAATTTGTGCAGCTTTGCACTTGCAACAGAAAACATCCTCAACTCTGTTGAATATTTCCCCAAGGTGAACCGTGAAACCCCTTCTTTTATTTTATTTTTCATATGCAGAGTCGCCTATGATTGCTTCGGGTAGTTAGTGTGTCTCTGTTTGTCGACATGTCGAGTACTTCCCAATGTTTATTTTCGAAGCAGCATCTGGTCTGGAGAGTTATTTAGTTTAGGCCATAGTTTATTTTTACAATCACCATTTGTCAACGAATCCATCGTGACTGTCCGATGTAAATTTGCTACAGAAAACACATAATAAACACGTATAGATGACAGAATCTGGCGACGCTAGAAATGCCGTTCGATGCGTTTTACGTAATGCCGCATTCTGATCGAAGTGCACGCACGTAACCGGAACTCTCTCTGGGATCTATATTCGGTCGACCTTTGGAGTTCACTAATTCGCAGGTGCAACGAGAGAACGATCGCATTGTGAAAGGAAAAACGAAGTTCATTTGCTACACAACGCAGTCTAGCGCATGAAAAAAGTTTGCAACAATAATTGGATTTGCAATTACCATTTTTTTTTGATGTTGTTGTACATGCATTGTGTTTACCGCAAATATCTCCAGTTTACGTAATCTAACGAGACAATGAACCATCTAATTTTGCACGCAACATTTTTGCAGTGAAATCTACAAGAAACATTTAGCAACGAATTATTTTGCAACGTATTTGTTTCTCAAGAATTTACACACTACACCACAATAAATAAACGATTAATTGAAATCAACTTATCAATAATTATTTGTTTCACACCAAATTACTCACTATAACAAGACGATTTATTGAAATTTAATAAAAATAATTAGTTGAGTTAATAATTCACAATTGTATAAAACTTTTGTATTAAAATCTCCAAGAAAATTTAATTAATTGGAATTTGAATAATAATAAAATTTACTTTATAATTTCATTATCATTAAAATTCAAGTTTATTACTTTGTTCTATATAAATCATTGCATTCAAAATGAAAGAAAAGTGACTTTAAAGCGAATTACCAAATATATAAACTTAGTTTAATTGAAAGTGCATTTATTATTTATATTTGTTTCTTAAATTGGGTCAAATTCTGCTAGTATTCGACGTTATTGCCATTCTTTTTATACATCCGATATTGCGTTCGACTCTGAACTTTTCATTGCGTTTCAGTAAACTTTTCATCACCATATATTTGGATTGAACTTTACGAAATTCTGCGCTGGTTTAAAATAAATTTAATTGGGTCAGTTCGTCTGGATGTGATATTATTCTTCAGCTATGAAATGTTTCTTCTTTTTGTAAATTTCATAACATCCTAACACTAGAAAATGATATTTTGAAAATTATGATTTATTTGCATTACTTTAATCAAAGTTGGTTTTTACACTAAGTATCAATTGCATCATATAATATTAATGACACTATAAGCGTTGGATTACTAAACATTACTTATATTTCAAAATGTAAATATTATGAGCTTGGACGAATGGGAGCAAAAGGAAGAATTTTCATTTATATTTTATGTGCTGTTGGTTGCTGAAGAAGGATGCTCATGTAATGAAGCGAAAATGTTGTTTTGCTAATGCGAATATAAATAAAGATATAGCAAACAGAATGGAAACAAATAGCAAACATTCAAATTGAATTGGGAATGTTATGAATAATGCATAAATAAAAATTAATAAGCATCGCAGCAACAAAGAAACTTGAAGAATGTAAAAGGGGAAACTTACAGGTGATTTCGACAATTTGTATTTTGTTCAAATTATCTTCCTGCTCCTCTATTTCTGCTCGCTCTTCTCCTTCTTCGTCTTCATTGAAACGATCGAATGAACAGAACAACGGCCATGCATTATTAATGCTGTGCGTTTATATTTAGCAATTCTGGCGCATTGCATAGAATATTGGATTAATTTATGCGTTTGCCAATGGAAAATACATCGAATGGTACCACGGCTGGCTTCAGTTAATTGTTTTGCTCGGCCAATTAATGTTTTACATATGCGGACTTACTACTACTAGCGCTCGGTGATTTCGGAACGAATCAGAGAAAATCCCGAACGATTGCATTATTATCCCACTCGGACGTAATCTATATCATGTGCATACAACAACAAAAACATTACTCGACATTAATTTTACGAAGTTTTAGCTGAGTTCTGAACAAAATCGAAAGCGAACAGAAAACCGAATCGGAGAAGCAAACATTAGAGAAAGAAGAAGAGAGAAAAATGGATTCGAACGTTTCGCTGCAGAGGAACCTGGATGTGCCGAGGACGGCGGACAACAAGAAGAACCAGAACAACACCGCTGGATCATCCGAGATATCTTCGGATGACAGCGATATAGAGCCGGACTTGGTGTCCACCATAAACCACAACACAATAAACTCACTGAATGCCTTAAAGGAAGTACTGCAGACTAATGGGAAGGAGAATCTGGAAGCGAACGGCAGTAGCTTCCTGCAACATTACTTCCAGAAACACACGTTGCCTTCAAGAAATGTGATAACCTGTAGACGCCTCTCGCAGTGTCGCGAGGAGGACGAAGATGAGGAGAAGAAGGATAAGGATCATGCAGCATCGGAGCTGGCCACGATCTCAGGCAGTGATAAGAGCTTATCCGAGTCGTCCTCGAGCGGATCCAAGTCGTCCGTGATTGACACTGTCAGCGGGCCGACGCATAAGTTTGTAGTGATGCGCACGAAGACCACGTCAGAGGATAAACCGAAACCTCCCGCGAAGGAACCGGAGAAGGTGAAGAAGTCCGCGGACGTGGCCAGCATGTTCTCCAGGAGGAAGTACTACCAGTCCAATACTGTTCACTTTCCTACCACCGATCCCAGGAAGCCTTCAATCTATTCCATCTTCAACAAGACGTCGCCGCTGCCGAGTCCTCACTACGATAGCAGGTTCTTCGATTCCTCTTTGATCGAGATGAAGAGCCAGACGAGCAGCGCGTCTACTCTTGACTTCGGCAGCAACGAGGACGTCTGGGTTCGGCGAAACGCTGCTGATATCAAACGAGTAAGTCATCATCTGAATCTTAAAAAAAACCCTCTAGCAGAACGAAGATTTCACACATCCCTATTTGACATTGACATTCATTATCGTAACCTCCAAAAAGTACATTGCTCTACATATCTAATATCATAAACCTTTCAACTTGATCTAAATAAGAAACGTAATTACTTCGTTACTTTGTTCTACGTAATGAAAAAAAGCACAAATGTATTAATTCAAAAACTATATATTTTTAATCTAAATAACATTGTTACTTACACACTAACGGCTCTCATCTTCTGTTGAATATTTACATATTGATAATCCTCGTTTTATTATTAATTATGGTATTTAAGGAAGGTATAAGCAATATTTTAAATATCAACAATGCTCATTGTTCTATTATTTCTTGAATCTAAAAACCTTCTTAGGTTACCTTCAAACCAAATGCTCTCGCCTTCTTCTTAATAATTGCCTATTCATAAACCTTGTTTCTAATTTAATTATGATATTTTAGAAAAGTAACATATTTGGAATGTAATTATGATAATGGTAATTTATGATTAAGTAGTTAAAGCATATGGGACTTAAACTTCATCCAATATGTTGATTATCATTAGAGTTTGAAGTTCGAAAGTAATATCTTCGTTGCTGCTATCCCCGTTACTATCCGAATTAAGTGTTAATCTACAAGTTACAATCATTTTGAAAGCGCCCTCGATCGATTGTCGTCCCTAGGAATTACGAAATAGAGCACAAACGTGAAACAACACCGGAATGACAGTGAGTCATGCTATGGCCAAAAGCTATTGATCACACATCAGTGTATGCTTGTTCATGGTATACAGGTTGCGGCATGGGCACTTGGTTTCCGGTAATCCGCAACAGCGAGATCCCTAATCCGCAATTAAACACGCTTGCTCATGAAGAGTGAACAGCAAATAAACTTATCCTTTACGCGATAATTCAGCAGCAACTCAGTGCGAGAGCCGCCCAAGTGAAAACATGTTGTTGTTACGAATGGAAAATTTCACGTTCCACTTCTTCGGCAGCTCAAAAAGCAACTGACCCAATTCGTCACAATGCGAAATCACATTCTGCACAGGGGTCTCGTTATTGACGTTCCATCACATTGGACACTTGTTATTTTTGTTACAGAACGAATGAATGAATTTCGAATATCTTGATATTTCCATTATGTACGATTCGGAGGTGCATTATCCTCGGTTTTGGTTTACGTTCAAATGATTTACGATTAAAATTAAACTGCCACCTATCACTTCCGTAATTAGTACCAATTTTGTTTGTATTCAAATTGTAGTCCCATTAATTATCTATCGCATTGATTGCCTGTAATCCCATTATTTTTTTCCACTGTGCTTCCGTGTTGATCACCGTTGATTACAATCATGCCTCCTAATGTACGTATACTATTCCAATAAAAACGTGTGATTGATGGATGTGGAAATGCATGGGAACGTGGGCTGTAATTTACTTTAATCATTCCAATCGACAAAAGCGAAATTACTTTGAAAGTTTTGCCGGTTTTGTCCTTTTGCTATTTGGTATAATCACGAAACCATTACATCAGTTCTCGCACAGTTTTCATGTTGTTTCAGGAATATTTGTAACAGTTGGAATTTAGAACTTCCTTCGAGCAACTTGCACGACGATGCCAGTCTTTGCATAACAATTAGACCCAAAATTGATTATGCAAATTGTGTTACTTCTTCAGGCAAAAATATCACTAGCCTCCATACAAATGTATACTCATAGTTTTTTTTGGGGATCATCATTTGCATTCTAAAACACTTTCTTTAAAGAAACGTTTCTGTTTTTGTTACAATGTATAATATGACTTTAATTGGTATATTTATTATTTTGATTTTGTATTGCAATTGTTATGTTGAACGAAGAAACGAATAATATGAAAAGAACGTTATTAATTTGGTTCGATATAAATATGTGCGTATTTATATTTGTAGACGTTTTCCGTCGACCGTGTTAAAGGCAAATCGCGAAAAGAAACTATTTTAAGAATCTATAAATAAATCGTATTTTCTTATTATTCTAAAATATATTTTATATATTTTGAAAATTATATAATGAATTAAATAATAATAATAAATAAAATTTATTGGGCTATAAGGGCTATTGACCTCTGAATTAAAACTTTTAATAATTGATAAATAATTATAAACCTTTTTCATTCTAATTATTAAATATTGTAAAATAATTTATTGTGTATTTTGCTTGAAGAAATTAACATAAATAGTTAAAACTATTTTTCATGCTGACTGCTGAAGAATAATATAAATAAATGAATGAGTAATAAAACACTGACCAGAACATTAATATCGTGTATAAAACTATTATCTTTACTATTATATAGATGAGGATTCGTATAAACTAGTTTCGTTTAACAACTCGTATACTTAATCAAGGATAATAATCATAAAATAAAGAAGTGATGAACGCTGGTTTGCTGCATTTTACTGCAAAAAGTGCAATATAATTATCTTTAAACAGCACTTTAGCAGTTAATAAACGTTTTAATGGTGGTAACGAAACAAAAATAACAGTAAAATACGTATGCTTAATGTTAAAAATAAAACCTTTAAAGGCTACTTTTTGTTTTGATGTTTTTCGATCCTAAATTTAACATTTCTATATTTTGGGAGTCAATTGCAAGTAGACAATGAATGAAGGATTGAAAACAAAGCATAAATCAGATGTAAGTGGAAGCTCATAAAGCAAAAAGAAGATACAAATCTATTTGCATTCAATGATTTATTGATGTCTGTAGAGTAGTACGGCCTGAATTAATGAGAGAGCTTCTCTGGAGAGCACTATTATTATGATGATTCGGTAATGAATTGCATAAATTTGAGTTTGCCCGGAGGATGATCCATAATGCATTCCGAAACTGGAAATCTTGTTGTTATTATTACCCGAGTACCGAAATAATACCGCTCGAGAAAACAATCAATAGATGATGAGTGGTGGGCGGGCGGTTGAAGAAGTTAGAAGCGTCTCGAGAGGATAACTTCGATAATCGTGAGAAGACATTAAAGTTTTTTTTAACAAATTTTTGCGCAAAACGACAAAGCTGTTATTACATTTCACGATTATCGAGCGAGCCACGTCCTTGAGCTTCTGCTATCTTAATCAAATACGCGTAATCTCAAGGTTAATTAATGACTAAATACTTTGTTTCGTTCGTTAAATGCGAGGAACAATGCGAAATGCAAATTATTCTTTGTTTTTTTGGTTTGGTAGCGTTCGTATTCATCATGACGATTGAACGAAGTGAACGTTTCGTAGCACGTTAATTGCAATGTGCTCGAAATGAAATTTTGTTCAATTTGGCGCACCCAGCGAGGAAAGCAGCGTTTCGCCAACAGTGCCAATTAAATTTGGCACATTTGGCGCTCTTCCTGTTTCCGGATGTGACGTAAGCGCGATAGAGCACTTTCGTGAACGGTCACGCACTCTGTTCATACGTTTTTTTCTCATATACATATTCCAAAAGATTGTATAATGGCGTAATTTAGAGCAGCTGCTAGTTTTCTAACAAATGATTATTTGAATTATACCTTTTAATAATTAATAAGGATGAACTCATTTTTATTGACCGTTTTCATTTACAATCTATTCTTATTTTTACTAATTTATTTTGAATTATAATCACTTAACTTATCCAATATTAATGAAAGTTTCAAAAATCTTAAAGGCAGTTTTGTACCGTGTTCTGTGCTGTACATTTAATTGTATTATTAAATTCTGTGAATACTAATGCGAACTACGACAGTAATTCGATACGAACATAATTTTGCAATTACGTAACGCATTGTTGTCGAATAAAATTAGCTGTTGGATAATATATATATCTTATCGGTATCTATTGTTAAGGACTTAACAACATAGCAACCTGTCGGTGCTACTTAATTATGTTTGTACCAGACTAGTTTCGTAAATATTATATAAATTTTATGAACGTTATTCAAATAACAAAGTTTTATTTATTAATCTTGCTTGGTTACTTGAAGAAAGTTTTCTGGGTAAAGTTTGTTTCATACAAATATTGAATGTTTATTGAATAAATTTTAATTCAATAAACATTTAATCAAATTATAAAAAATAAGTTTTTTTTATATAATAGTTATCATTATCCAACTAAAATGTTATAATGTTACAATTTATGTATATATTTATTATTTGTATGATAATTTTCAATAACCAAATCAAATTTAAATCAACGATAATAATGTTAATATTTATATAATGTTATATAATAAATTTGGGTTTTAATGGCATAATTTAATTAAATTATTGTTATAATAATGAACGGTGCTCGAAAACAGTGAAGTCGCACAAAAACACTCAATATTTACACGATTATTTGTGGTTATGATGTTCGCACTTGACGTAATAGCCCGAGCGATTGCGTAATTATTAATTATAAAATGATGATTTATTAGAGTGTAATTGGCCGGAAAAAATATACGAAATACGCTCATCGCTTTGTTTCTTTTTTTCGACATGTCAAAACAATTATTTTTTACGTTTCTGCTGTCTTTTTTGTAACAAGTGTAATAAACTTAGTTTACATTCAAATTAACTACAGTTTATTTTATTGTATTTTTAATATTTTTGTATACAACATTACCATAGCTTAGTCCTAGAGACTTGATATAAAGTGAAAGAATCAATATTTTTTTTTAGAATTTATTTGTATTTTTCTCAATTAAAATTTATTGTGTTTTTCTGGACTGATCGAAGCCGAACACTGTAGCGAGGTAGCTGTATTTTATGCGATCCGGTTTTCGGTATGTGCTTCAATCCTGATGTTGTTAGTTGATGTCACGTTTGAGAATATGTTAAAACATTTCCATAATGGTTATTGTTTATTATATATATATATATATTTAATTAAATGTATGCTCGATCATTATATTATTAATTAACGATTCGTTACTAATTAACGTCGATGTGAACGGAATTGCGATGCGTTTTAATGCGAA